CCCCCCCACCCACACACACACCAAAAAAAAACTCTAAACCTTTAGCCTCCCAAATTTAGGCCCTGATCTACATTGGCCTAGTATATATGCTATGGGTCTGACTTATCCAGGTTAAAAAAAATATCAGCCGCGCAAAGCCTGATTACGAGGCTACGGCCGTCACATCCCACCAGTGATACGTCACGCTGATATTGCGTGATGTCGGAAGCCTCAATTTGTTGTACGTCTAAAAACACGCCAAAGCTTAAACCTCTCATTGGATTGGAGAGTAACAAATAATAAAATGTCCCTCGCGCAAAAGCCTGATTACGAGGCTAAGGCCGTCACATCCCACCGACGATACGTCACGCTGATATTGCGTGATGTCGGAAGCCCCAATTTGTTGATACTGGAAACGACAGGCCGGGAAAAGATCAATGGACCCCATTACAGAACCTTCCCGCGGGACAAGACGGCGGAAGGAAAATATTAATTCCGAGGTGTGGAAACGGGATTCCTGCGCGTAGGTAATGTTAGACGGATTAAGGTAGTGTATAATGGTGCCTGAGGACTTTGGGGACATCTTAAAAATACTAGTTAGAATTACTTTTGGTCATTGAAATTTTTCATATAAGTACCTTATTGCAAGACAATAATTTATGCAAATTTTTATGACGTCACGAAGACGTAATCTGGACTTATGAGCCACGCCCCTTTTTTAGAAAAATCAATTTTCCTGGCCAGTGCTTTGGTTTTCATTGACCATATTTTGTAGAGAGGCGCACTATAGTGATAGCAAAAAACGTACGTCAGGATTTTTTTCTATCTTCAAATGTTGATTTTTAATGAATTTTTTTCGTAAATTTTAACAGTGCCATACGCCAGCGGCCCTCCCCAGCACATAAAGCGGCGCAGCGTGTCGGCCTGACGTACGTTTTTAGTTTAGAAGCTTATGTTTAAAATAAAACAATTTTTGGTCCCTTTTCATTAGCAGTTTTGCCACAGTTTTGATCTAAAAATGCTGTATATGCTGTATGGGTTACATAAATGTCCATTTTGGAGCCAAAAAGAGCCGAAATCGCCAGGTTCTGGTCCGCATTCCAAAGGCCCCGATGACTTCCGGTAAAATGCGGGTCATTGACCCTTCAGCACGCTGTATTTACCATTCTGAGCCGCGATTTAGAAAAATAGGCCGGGGATATGTCCAGTAAAAAGAACAGCCCAAGCGTCCCCATTCTTAAAGCGTGGGGGAGTCACGTGACCAAACCAAATGGCGGACGACGACTTGGATGCCGCGAAGGACGCTGTGCGGTTTGCGGCAACATTTGGGCCGCTAGACAATCTTTTAAACGGCTATACCCTACGTAGTTTTGCAGGTGGACTTTCATGGACTATTCTGAGACCTTTCTGGAGAAAAACCGTCCGCGTTTTCTGGAGTTACGGACTTGTTTTTGATGCCTACCCCCGAAGTTCTTTGTTGTGTTACGGAAAGCAACATACTCGGAAAAAGACTGAAAACATGGAGTTACCGGAGTAGATAGCCCTGGAGAAAAGCCTGCCCGTACGTGGTATGAGATTACTAGCGAATATAATTTTGTTGATTATGTGGATTTCTGTTGAACGTTGTCCTAGTAGACGTGTGCTTACAGTATATGATTTTTTTTACGTACGGAGTTTTTATCTGCAAAATATGGACGATCCTAGCCGCGGCGACTGTTGCAGGGCTTCTCTTGCTTGCAGTCTTTTACAGTAGCCCTAACAACAGTCGCGGAGCGGTGCATTGGGCCAAATGAACAAACATGCGCTTTACCGTGCCGGAACACTTTGGGACCGAAGTTTGCACGTCCCTAGATTGCTAACAGCCTCACCTAACGTGCCGGGGTGTTTTGCGCGTCAACCGGCCCCTGCGCGACTCGTGCCGCCACTATTTGCGATCGCTCCCCATGTATTCATAAGCCGAGTGGCCGCCATCTTGGTCAGCCGCGCGCTGAATCAGCTACTTGCAAACGTGCCACTACTTTTCTGATCCGTAGAAATAGCTTATCAGAAAAGTAGCGACAAATTTGCCGGCGGCTGATTCCAATCAAAAATGGCGGCCAACTGTTATGTTTTACGTGGGGAGAGATCGCAAATAGTGGCGGTACGAGTCGCGCAGGGGCCGGCTGACGCGCAAAACACCCCGGCACGTTAGGTGAGGCTGTTAGGAATCTAGGGACGTGCAAACTTCGGTCTCAAAGTGTTCCGGCACGGTAAAACGCATGTTTGTTCAGTTGGCCCAATGCACCGCTCCGCGACTG